GGTCCGCCGGGTTTTCGCCACTCTTGGCCTCGCTTTTGAGGAGTCCAAGTGTCAATGGGAGCCGGTCCAATGCAAGAAGCATCTAGGGATCTTGATCGACACCAATCAGTGCCAATTTCAGGTCCCTCCGGACAAGGTTGCGGCCATTTCGCGGCGGGCCCAGGAGATTAGTCGACGGGGTTTCATTGTTGCTCGGGATCTGGCTAAGTTCTGTGGCTCTGCCATTTCCTTGTACTTGGCTTTTCCATTGGCACGGTTTTTTTGACGGATCTCTACTCTCTTTTGCGCGGCAAGCGTTCTTGGCGAGATCGGCTCTGTTTGACCGCCGCGGCTCGTTTGGAATTGGCCGCCTGGGCCCAGATCGGTCGGTTGGCGGGCAGGTCGCTCAATTCCGCCTCCTTGGAGCTGGTGGGCACCTTAGCTACGGACGCCAGCCTCACCGGCTGGGGGGCCACTTTTACGCCTCTGGGCGGTGATCAACCCCTTCTTGCTCGCGGATTCTTTGATCGGGAGCTCATTCACATCAATGTCCATGAAATGCAGGCCGTATACTTGGCCCTGCTGTCTTTCTTTCCTCGCCGGTGCCCCAGGACCGCTTCTCGCCGGCTTCGGTTGCTCGTGGACAACCAGGTGGTTCTCCACTGCCTCAACTCGATGACTACCAAATCAGCCGGTCTCTTTAGGCCCCTTCGCCAGTTGCAAGCTATTTGTGCGACGCGGAAGTTGCTCCTGGAGCCCGAGTACATTCGGTCAGCGGACAATGTCCTTCCGGACAGGCTTTCGCGTATACGGACTTCGGAGGACTACCGGCTCAATCCGCGCATATTCCAGGAGGTCGTCCACCGCTTCGGGGCCTGTTCAGTGGACCGATTTGCGTCCGCTCGGAATGCCCTCTGCGCGGCCTACAACAGTCAACATTGGGATGTGGGTACGTCGGGCGTTGACGCCTTCGCACAGAACTGGACGGGGACCCGCAGCTGGTGCAATCCCCCGTGGAGCCTCCTCGCGAGGCTTGTCGCCTTCCTCACCTCGAGGCCGCAACTGGATGCAGTGGTGCTCGCGCTGAACTGGCCGAGCGCGGTTTGGTTTCCCCGCCTCCGGGCAATGGCACAGGCCGAGATCTTCATTCCCCGCCAGCCCAACCTCTTTCTCCCCGGGGATCCGAGCCTCCCGTCCTCCCTTCCACCTCCGCGCTAGAATTTGCGCGCCTTCCATGTGGCGCCGAGGACACACCCGACGACCCTACGGACCCCACCGGCGATGACGCCCTGAGCGAACCGGAGGCTCCGGCGCCTCCCGCCGGGGCGCCTCCTTCGGATCCGTTCCCCTTGGAACCGGTCCCCGAGGACCATCCGCTGTACGGCACCGAAGTGGATGGCTTGATGGCGGACGACCGGAGCTGGATGGCACAACAGTTCCTTGCCTCCTATACGGAGGCCACCCGGCGGACTATGCAGGCCAAGTTCCTGCGTTTCCAGGCCTTTTGCGAGGCACATGCCTTGCAGCCGTTGCCCGCTCGTCGCGCCACTATCTACCGCTACATTCGGTTCCTACGCGAGGAAGGCAAGGTGGGCGTTCGTTCTTTGCCGCAGTATCTCGCGGCCATCTCCATGGTGCACCATATGTCTGGGCACCTTGGCTTTTCTGCTTTCGACCCGGTCACCCGTGTCCTCACCCGCGCATGGCGCCGGGATACGCCAGCCCCCGTGCAACATCACCGCCCTGTGCCCATCGAGGTGGTGATTCGCATCCTCGACGTGGGATTGACCACGGAGGACGGGGCCTTCCTTCGGGCGGCGTGCGCGGCGTACATCGATTACATCTTTTTCAACCGGGCGCAATCGGGCCACTTCGTTCTCGCGGAGGACATTCGGATGGCTGACGGAGTCGTTTTATTTCGGGAACGCAAATCCAAGCTGCACAAGGATGCGGCCCCTCGCTTGCGTTTTTGGTCCTGGCCGACCCAAGGCGCCCCGGAGGTCGTGGATCTCATTCTTCGATGGACGGCTTTCCGTGACCGCGCCTGGGCCCAGACGGACCAAGCGCCTTGCCATTTCTACCGCCTTCCGGGCGAGGCGTCCCCCAGCTCCAAGACGGTGGCCGCTTGGTTTTTGGACTTACTGGCCAAGCACCCGACCATCGCTCGTGAACCTTTCACGCACTATGGCCTCCGCGGCGGCGGTGCGTCTAGCTGCTTCGCTTTGGAGGTCGCCGAGCGGCGCATTCGGGACTGGGGTGGCTGGAAGTCAGACTCCATGTGGTCGTACGTGGACATTTTTCGTTTACCCACTGAGTGGGACTTTCGTTTGTTCGGGTGGATGACGATCACCGCCCGCGACCTCCACGCCCAGTTTGGGCACATTTTCTGCCCCGGCGGTGCCTCCCGTGCCCTTGGAGAGTGAATGGGCAAACTGTTAAGTACGGGGACCTTGGGTATGTGGAGTGTTGGTGATGGACACCTTTGTTGTAATGTGTTGTCGTGTGGGGAACATGACCGGGTGGGTTCAGGAGACCGGTCAGGTGGAAATGACATTAACTATCTTGTTAATAGATTTCCACCCAGGACGACGTTGGGTGGGTTGCGCCGAGTTTCGAATCAGACGCAATCGTATTCAAACGGGTTTCTGGCCCTTCCTAGTACTTTGGGTCAGTCAAAGTACGGAGTGTCCAAGGGTCCGCCCGTTTTGGCGGCTTGGACTTGGCGGGCTTTGGCGGGGCTGAGCGGGGGCGGCTATTTAGGCTCCCCCCTCGGTCCCCCTCCTATCTTGTTTCGCACCCAGCCCTCCCACCCGAGAGAGTGGAGTTCGGTTGAGTTGAAGGGAGAACGGGATGGAATGGACTGCTGTACGGGAAAGGGGTGAGTCAGGGTTTTCTGTCACGGGAGAAACATGAAGTAAAGTAAGGGCGAAGCGAAAGGGCAAACTGTTAAGTACGGGGACCTCGGGTATGTGGAGTGTTGGTGATGGACACCTTTGTTGTAATGTGTTGTCGTGTGGGGAACACGACCGGGTAGGTTCAGGAGACCGGTCAGGTGGAAATGACGCCATCACAAACCCCGTCCCATGCTGCCTTGGGGCAAACGGCCAGCACCCTCATTTGGTGACCAAGACACAGAAGTGGCCAACAAATATTGGCCATTTTGTGGGAACTCGAACAAGACCCTAAATACGGAATATGTCAGGATGTCACTGCCCATTGCACAATGGAATTTCTGCAAGGTTCTGTGGACAGCACATGCAAACAAAATTGGCCTTGCAAGCAATTGCCTAGATGGACGATCCGTACATGGGATTAACTATCTTGTTAATGGTTTTCCGCTCAGGGCGACGTTGGGTAGGCGCGTTGGCTCCAGTTTGGGCTGGTGCTGCTTATGTACAGTCTGTTTTGGCGGCCCTTGGGTTTCTGCCCCCATGTACCTTGTGCAATACCATGTACCATGTACAGTGGTTGGTTCGACGCGTTAAGGAGGGCCAATGGTTTTTGGCGCCCTTGGAGGTGCCGGGCTTTGGTGGGCATGAGCGGGAGAGGCCATTTGGGCTCGCCCCTCGGTCCCCACTCTATCTTGTTTCGCTTCCCGCCCGGCCCAACCCTGTTAGGGTGACGTTTGGTTGACTGTGGGATGATAGGGGACTTAAGGGCGGCGAGTAGGACCGACTCAGGGTTGAGTCATGTATGGTATTGGCTCAACTACTAGCGAAGCGACTGGCCACACGAGTTGGGGGTACCTCGGGTTGTTTGGGACAAACGGTTAATGTATTGTAATGTATCGGTCCAGTGTGTGTGTGAACCTGGGTGGGACAAGGAGCCCGTCCAGGCGGAAATACCACATACACCAGGTCGTCTGCAGGGGGGCGAGGGAAAGCATCGCTGTTGATGTGCCACGTGCATGACAGCGCACCCTTATAGCCCAAAGCACAGAGGTCTTTGTGGAGCAGAGGTGGGCAAAAACAAACGTGTTTTTCCACGATCACGTTCCGTTCGGGCTCAAATGTCAACGGAACGTTAATGGCGCGTTTGTGTTCCCCCTCTAGAAATCCAAATGTAGGGGACGCGCTTACATTCCCGTTTTCAAGATCTGGACATACCACACACGTTCGTGTTTCCGTTCCAGAAACCCCAACGTGCTGCAAGCGTTTGCGTTTGCGTTTACGTTTTGGCGGCCTGGGCGTCCAGCTAGTTTAAACTCATGCCGGATGTTACTGTTCGTCACAACTGTTGGCCCGCCAAAGCACAAGAAAACGTGTGGGAGATCCAGAAAAGATGATATGGATAAGGTATCCGGGTCAAGCGCGCAGCAATACTTGCCACTCGTGCCAAAGAGTTTGCCAACAATATGGCAACCGGCACCCACGTCTAAACTGAGGAAAATCAGGTCAGTTGACTGACAATTTGGGCGACGTTTGCATAAGTGAAATGTTGTCTGCGTCCACGTTCCAGGTTTGGAAGCCTGTGGGAAGCTGGACATATTGAACACGTTCACATTCCCGTTCTGAAAACCCAAATGAACTGCAAACTTTCACGTTTCCGTTCTGAAAGCCCAAACGTATTGCAGACACTCACGTTTCTATTCCGAAACCTCAAACGCAGTTGACACGTTTGCGTTTCCGTTTTACCAGTGTACGCCCACCCCTGCTGTGGCGCGGCGGCCCTCACAAGCAGGATGCGCCAGTCGTTTACGGTACCCTCTCCACACCTGCTCCCCAAGCGCAGCCATGCAACGACCAGCTGCAACGACTTACCAGGGATTTTGTGCCCATCGCTTGTGCTGACTTGGCCTCGTGGGTTGCATGGAATAACAATGACTTCCTACCTGGTGTTATCCTCCGGTGCCCACTCTCTCGTCCCTCATTCTGTTGTGTGCCTCAGTTACATTACCCGACAGTCGCACATGGGGCCAACTGAAGATGGCATTCATGCAAAGGGGAAAGCAAACAAAGCAACTGAATCCGCAGGACAAGCTTGAAAAAGCTGGTGTCGAAACAAATAGAAGTCAACACAACCAAAAATGAAAGGAACCTGACTGCCCATCGCAGTGTGAACTGGGGGCTACACCAGGTGAACTGCTCCCTGCCGCTACTACAGCTGACCCTCTAAAACGTTTGCTGATTGGCCATTCTGAGGGCAGCAGCCTCTCGTTGGAGCTCCTGGACGACAGCAGCAAGCGCCTGAAGAGCATGAAGCAACTGTCAGACCATAAGCCGCACACAGGCGAGAAGAGCAGACGATGGAAATAGCCCATGAAAGTGGCCCGCCTATGGCGTTGGTCTCTATTTTGATATCAAATCTTGTGCATGACAATTACCAGGTCAGGTCCAATCCCTGCCTTCATGTAGATATGTGGGCACAAGGCCATATTGCTCCAAGGTCTTGGGTTGGGGTTAACGTCAAGCTTCAGGAGATTCTTTGACAATAACAGGAAGCAGTCACACTGTAGGCCACCCCTATTTCAGCAAACTTCCGAAAAATCACATGTCCATGCAATGAACGATGGAGATGCCTCCCTCACCAGCAGGAGACATCTGCATTAATTTTCCCGTAGCATTCAGCGTCGGACAGCACCACATCCCCCACCCACTGCCCCACCCACCCCACCACACCACACACCCCACGCTGAGTCCTGAGGGATGTGGAAGGTACAGAACTGTATGCATACTCCCTGCTACACTTCTGTTCCCTGTTGTCTCAATAAAAGGTCGGTGCACGCAAAGTACTGCCGTGGCCATCTCCTGAGCTATCAACCCACATCCCAGTGCACCCAGATGCATGTGTCCTTGCAGGGCTGATGACATTCTCCACAAACGGCACAGGGCGATGTCTTGGCTGCCATCTTCCAGCATGTTTATCCAATGCGCTGAAACAAGCACTGGCATGGCTCGTTCTCAAGAACTGTGGATTTGCCAAAATGGAAGTGATGACTCCACAAGAGCAGGCGTTTTAGGGGACACTTGCTGTGCTATTGTGGATAGCCAACAGTCCAAGGGCAATCGCCAGTGTTCCAATCTCCTACCCCAATGCCCGAGCACTCATTGACATCTGCCCTCTTTCTGGATATTCCACAGCTCCAAGATGGACATACATTTCCACACACGTTGGTGCCTAAAAGAAAAGCATAATGTGACCATAGCCATACGAACAGTCTTGCACTGGATGGGGATGACAGTCGCTGGTGCCAGAAAACAATCAAACACAACATACACAAAAAATATTGTTCAAACTACAAATATTGTTGGATGGGGTGGCGTGCACAAGTGCAGGAGGAAGCCTAGGAGGCCTGGACTGTTTTGGGGCCCAGCCTTTGAAATCAAGTTGATATGACCCCAGAATTGTTCTCTGATTGCAAAGCATCGAATCACACGAAAGGTGTCCAGCTGCTGTCCCCATCCTAAGACATGTCAGCCTTTTGCTCCCTGACAAGAAGTACAAGATGATACAAAGCCCAAGGAATTAACGCATTAAATTGAATGCAATGCAGACAAGGGCACCAGGGTTACAGAGCAATAATATGGCCAGATCAAGTGTGCAAGACCCGACCGTAGCATCAATACAAATTGTATTCGGATTGCACAACGTGGTGACTTGCCTCTGGGTTTACGCCAGTCTCACAAAGGCCCACAAGGATGGCTAAAGTGTCCCTTGGAACAAACCACAGTCGAAAGGTGAGTAGGAGCAAAGCAGGCAGGCGCATTTACGATGACGCCTGAAAGCCCACCAGGTCACCCCAAGCCAGACCACAAGAGCCATCCCGGCGGGAATCGATTAATGGCAAGGGGTGAAGTCGACAAGCAGGTTCTACTTGCGAAAAAAGAACATGAATGATACTTGGCCGGAACTACGTCCACGGCTTGTAGGTACTATCTGCTGATAACTTCCCCATTTTGCTGACAAGTACAGCGCGCAGTGCCCCAAAAGGGACTTAAACAATCTCCGCTCCGGTGATGAGAAACGGGAAAGCCGCAAATTATGGCCTCAGCAACGCCAAAAACTCTTCCCGCACAGAAAAGCGTAGTAACCGAACCAGATGGCAACACAAGAAACGCAGGACGGCACAGTCGATCCCCCCCGGGACGCCTTTGGGGCATCGCGGGGCAGCCCCTTGGCGCGTCCTCACCTGTCCAGTCCAGTGTCCAGGAGCTGGGAAATCTCGTAAATGACTGTACACGCCGCAGCCGCGCGTCAGATTTTCGCCCCCCCAGAACGGGCTCCGAAAAGATTCCCATGTACCGCGCTTCGGTGCGCAAGCATGCAACGCGAAGTGAAGGCCATCGAGCGGGGGCGGTTGAGAACGAGGCCGGCGTCCGGCTGGCGTGCCACTCACTGTCCAGCGCCTCTCGCGCCTTCTGCACTGAGGACGGGTCCATCGGCGAGAGGGACGGGGAGGGCTGCGGCTGTCCGCCTCGTCGCGACGGGCGCCTCGCAGGAGGGAGCGTGGGGGCGCAGGGGACCGATGCTGACGCCCAACAGGCACAAACCTGTTTCTGGCAAAAGCAGCAAGATGGTGTTTTTCTTTTTTGAATTCCAATGTATTACTAGTAGTAGTACATGTTGATCTAAGCAAGGAGCTACCCCGCGGAAAGTAAGGCACACTGTAACTAGAACTGCTTGAGCAGTATCGACAACTGGATGCATGAAGAAGATGGGGCCTTAGGAATTGCATTAAGGACATCGATCAATGGAATGGACACAAGGGACAACTCCTGTTGTCCCTTTGCACGGCTGTAAACCGTTGCCGTGGACTCGAGCCTGCGGCCCACAGTCAGGAGTCGCCACCCCTCGAACCTGCCTGCTTTCGTCAGCATCTTGTGGAGATGGCGTAGCTGTTCGTGTTAACGCTTTGATGCCAGGGGGATGATGGCAAAGCATCCCTTGTGGCGCAGACACACAGGGGCAGGAGCCACCGTGACGTGCGAGGTGCCGTCCGGCAGTTCCACCGAAACGGACTTGGACGAACACAATGGGCCTCAAGTGCCTTGACATACCCAAAATGCACTGGATACGCGACATACATGGCGATTCCTGCCCTGCCCACTGCAAAGCGCCTTTTGGTGTTCTATCACGCGTCTGGGACTGCTGGTGCAAGCTCACAAACGTGACAGCGTTGTGCGCGTACTGCCTCCTGCAGGAACGTCTTACGTTATTTCCATTACTGGCTGGCCACTTACATCGACATGGCGGGTGCGTTCGCCATTCGTTTCAACAAAAATGATACAAAGTTCCTTCTCAACCTTTAACAAGGCAACCATTATAAGTTCACGCGCATTCAACCTGCCACAAGCGTCCAGCCTGCCAAACCGAAATCAACTGCAATGCATTACACTTCCCTATGCGCTCGCTGGCATGTGCGAGCTCAACTGCATCTTCTGTGGCTCCCCGCCCGGCCACTGCTGTTCAATTCGATCTATAGTTAGTACTAGTCAATTCCCATCTTTCTCTGGGCGTCTCACTGAAATTGTGACAGCTCCCAAATGCACAGGCCTGCCTACACTCCCGCACCACAAAGAGCGCTCGGGCAACAATGCACACTTAACAAGCACCTTCCCTTCTGCCCCACAAATGGGCAACCTAAAACCGCAGTTGGTGTCAACGGCCAGTGGACTTGGTGCAGCAGCCGCTGGGTCTGGCGCCACCCGCCACTTCAACTGGCTGCAGTAGGGAGAGGGACGACTTAGCGTTCAGCTATCTTCAAGTAGGCCGTCCAGCATTTGGTTCAGGAGAAATCTCGAGGTTGTCTGCACCTCCAGCTTGTAATGGTCTTTAATATATGTACCGCGCTCGCGTCGGTACTTCAGTACCAGCGACTTCACCACTGCACACAGAGAGCACATTAGGAACAACAGTGAGCAGAGGAAGAGCTCTGGGGTGTTCTTGTGACCACCACACTGAACTCTCACACCCAATTTTCAGACCTGTGTTTCAAGCCCATCATATTTGGTTCACTTCCTTCAACCTTGTGAGCATGGGTGTGGTGATGGATTATTAGCGATGATGGCTCACGTAACAGGAGTTGCAAGCACTGCAGCCCTTGTTGACACCTGACAGTTGCCTGGCAGCGCAAGGCATCTGGCCTGCAGATGTTCTGTAGGGCAACAAACAGACAGTGCTGCTTCAAACTTGAAAGCATCCCTGACGTGCAAAGCATTCCAGACAAGCCCACTCCATGCAAGATTTGGTGGTCCCCAGAAACACTGTGCTGGCAATATTGGAGTCTTTGACACGTGGCATGGCTTAGCACATTTGGGGAAGCAGTACTTGGCTTTGCTGAGCTTTACATGCTGTGTCATACATTGTTTTGTGGCCCTGCAGTTCTGATACTGATTGCGATCCATCCCAAACAATGATATCTGCCCAATCACACAGAACCCAAGCAGAAAATTGTCCATGCTGGGGGTTATACACAATACATTGGCTTGTTGTCGCAATCATGAAAAACATTGGGTGAAGCAGCTACAGAGAGGCAGGGCCACCAAGGGGAAAATACTTGCATATGATCTGGCACAGCATGAATGCGATCCGCTCTCAGGAGCGATTTCAGTGTGTTCAGCAATCCAGGGTTCTGATACTCTGCTGTACAGGCTAGTCTATGTTCCGTGCAACTCCTGTTCTGTGTGCAGGGCCTTCTGCATCATCTTCCTCAGCAAAGACAACAGCCTCTTCCATTTCTAGATCAACATGGTAAGTGCCCACTGTGCGGAACTTCCTGATATTGGGCCCAACGACAGTCGCCACAGGCAGACAAGGCGTGAGAGACACACTCCATGAGCCACAGAAGATAATTTTACCACATGCCATCCCACTTCCCATGTGCCCCAAAACTTGTTTCTGTCCATATTTCCCCATACAAATCCCCTACGACTTCCCATTCAGCACAAAAAACAACTCACACGTCACCGTATGCAAGCATACACAACAGCTTCAGGCCGCGAGCAACGCCAACGACACACGCCACGAACCCGGCCTGGCATGCAAATTTTTGTCAGCTGAGCCCCTTTTGGCCTACCGTAGTCCTTCCCGTCGACCTCTATGACCTCCTCACAGTGCGTGTTCACCGGCAGCGAGTGCACGCCGAGCGACCGGGGAGGTGGGGAGATGATGTGCACCTCGAAGAGTCCCGGCTTGTTCGCTCGCCGCTTCCGCCTCCGGCCGCCCCCGCCGTGGCCATCGGCCTGATCAGCAACACCAGGCGTCGGCGCGTCCAATCACCGCGGCCCCACGAGCGTTCTCGCCCGCGCCCCAGGAGTTTCGGGTCCTGCCCGTTCCGGGCGCCATTCCTGGCAACAATCCGCCGGATGCGCTCATGGGCCAGGCACGGCCGCATTACCCGCTGCTCTTCGCGGTGCGCAGCGCCAGAGCAGTCCGCGAGGCCGGGTTTGGCCATCAACATCCCGCCGGACGTCGGGAAATCCGACCGGCCCGAGCGGAAGAAATGTCGTCGACGCATCGATGGTCGCCGCGCGAAGCGGACGTCCTCAGGGCGGGCCGATCCGCCACCAGGCACCGCCAGAAAGCCAAATGGCGGCGGACAGGCGGGGCCGATCGCGGGGCGCGGACATCCAGGACCGGTGCCATGCGCCCGCGGCACGTTCGGCGCATGACGTGCCAAACCTCCGACAGCGCCCGCTGCACCCCACGATGCGGATGGGGACCCGGATCTCGCCTAGAAAAAGAGCTGAAAAGCCCCACGCAGGTCGGCATCTCGCGGCCTGGGGCTTTCAGACCCCCCGCACCTTGGCCAGGGGCGCCAGCGCACCGCGTCGTCCCTCCTGCGGGGTCCCGCCCCCGGCTGCAACACCCGTCCCAGCGCTCAGTCCGCGTGCCCATGGGCGGGCCGCAAAAATTTCTCCAGCGGCCCCGAGGCCGACCCGGAGGCGACCCCGCCGCCGCAGGCGCCGCTCAGCGACCGGCCGCCTGCCCGGTTGATGAGCTCGGCAGACAGGACGACAATCCAGAACAGAAACACGCCGAGGAGCAGGAAGAACGAGGGGTCCATCAGCGCTCACCGGGGAGGGTGGCGGGCAGCGCGGCAGCGAAGCCGCAGGCGCTACAGCTGGAGCAGCCAGCCGCTGCCATGCCAGGGGTGGGGGGTTGGGGGCCGTCGGCCTGGCTGCCTGGGCCTCGCGCGCTGCACGGCCCTGATCGGGAGGAATGTGTCGTAAGGGGGGCCGTGGGGCGTGGTCCGCTTCCGCGGGGCTCTACGGAACTGACAGATGTCGGGTCGCGTCGGCTGACTGCTGGGGTGGACAGGGCGCCCGCCTTGAACCTCGTCGCCCAAATGCGCGCTCACTTGCTCATCAAAGGCCGGGCACAACACATGTGCTGCACACGAGATTTGGATTTCTGCCTGACGGGATCCCCGGCCCTCCCGAGCCCGGACTGGCCCCCAGGTGGGTCACAAATTCCTCCCACGGGTGTCCGTCTCCCAGACAAAGCCAAGGATCGTCGTACCAAAACTTGCCCATGCTCCGCGACTCAAACCAAGGCACTACCCCCAGTACTCAGCCCTTAAATTAAAGCAGCCCCCATCGCAGCTGCCCATAAGGGCTGATGAGCTGCTGCTGCTGCCTCACTACTGTGAGGATCCAGGCCTTCCACTTCTTCGCACAGGTGCTGCTGAAGCGAGGCACCTCGATTCAGTGTTCGTGAACAAACAACGCTGATCGTTGAAGCCAAAACGCCTCCGCCAACCAACTCAGCCTTTTGCAGCCGCCCTGATGCTATGCCGATCATCATTCATCACAGCCAACTCTGATGTGCAATCAGATAACGGCTCACTTCACCAACAGCACAGGTGCTGCTGAAGCGAGGCACCTCAATTCAGTGTTCGTGAACAAACAGCGCTGATCGCTGAAGCCAGAACGCCTCCACAGACCAGCTCAGCCTTTTGCAGCCGCCCTGATGCTATGTCGATCATCATTCATCACAGCCAACTCTGATGTGCAGTCAGGCAACGGCTCACTTCACCAACAGCACAGGTCGCAGACTGACGTCGATCATCGCGCAGCACCTCGATTGAGGGACGGCAACGCCGTTTAGCAGCGGACACAGATTTTCTGAAGCAGCTATGTGGAGGGCAGCACTCCATTCCAGCCTGGCTCCTGCCACGAACAGCGATACGCAGCTGGATTTAGGGATCACTTTCTAGAACTTCAGCAGAGCGATCCTGAAGGGTTTGCAAGGGAGGCCTTGTAACGATTTCTGGCGCATGAATGTCGCCAATGTTGTGTCTGTGATGACGATGGCTCAAACCACCCATGATCGGCATAGTGGGTCACCAAACCGGCGTTCCTTTGCAGCTGAGACAGATACCTGCCTGTGTGCTTCGAGGGCGTCCGACGTTTGTTTTCTCACGATCGCTGTTCACCACTCCCTCATGCAGCTCACCGAATCACCATGTCAACGCAATGCAACGTCACGATCGCTATACAAGTCGCAAATCAATGCGCCACATGTTGTGCGACAATGGGGTAGTGCCCGTGCTCTCGGACTCGGCCCCTGCCGCGTTTCTGAAGTCGATCGCTTGCAGCGATTGTACTTGGACGGCACTTAGACGTTCACACACAAGGAGGTGCTCCAAGATTTCAATGGGCAACCAGGTATATGTTACATTTTCCTCCAAAACAACAACTCGGAGGTCAGCTCTCATGGTCGGCGGCTGCAGCAAAACCCCTGCATGCCCACCTATTTATAGCCCCGGCTGGCTGCCCCCCTTGCTCGAGGATCCTCGGAACATTCTCCAAGGATTTGGATCACTATTGGCCAGCTTCCTTGATCATCCCCTGCCTGTCCCATCTGTTTCCCGATCGCTGTTGTGATCCACTACATATCACCATTCCCCCCGTCTAATGATTCCAACTGGTCCTAGGATCAGTGCTGTTCACTCATAAATCATTGTCAAGTGTCGCCCCCGCGGCCCCCCCATTAAACAAACTATTCTTTGCGACCATTGGATCACAACCAGCTCAATGGATTCACAGGTTGTTGTCTCATCAACCAATCACCATCGACCAACATCAATTTCATCATGATCGCCAGGATGCGCCCTCGCCTGCTCCCCCATGCCTCCGCCATGGGCTCCAGCGCCTCAATTGCGCCCCCTATCGCTTGGTGGGCCTTCACATGCAGGCCGTGCCTAGCCGTCCCGTACGTCGTGGATTCGAGCGTCCCTTGGGCTGATCGCAGCCACTCGTAGGCATGCAAATTCCATGAAGGGGGGGCAGATCACTGCAATGCAAGCAGCGCAACGTAGTCCATGCGATTCAACCATCGCCATCATCGTCATCGAGACTTGGTAGCCACGCTCTCACACCCATATTCGAGCGTGTCGCTGCCGGTTACCGCCGCCGTGTGTACGCCTGTGAGGCGCCCAGCGACTCGGCGTCCAAGGCTGCCGTACTGCATCAAACGCCATGACACACGAAACCTGATGGCAACCGTGGACGCGCACCCCAATGTACGGGACGGCAGTCGTACACTCGCCAATACACCTAACCATCATTATTGGCTGAGCATCGCTGCCCAAGTGCACCCACCATTGGGTCCTCTTGAAATTGCATGTTCTGCCAAGAATTCTACCATGAATGGGAAACACTTTCAAAGTGGAATGACGGTCCTTTTTGGCCTATTGTGTTGCCATCCAGCAGCTGTACTATGGCCTATGTTGTCGTATTTTGTCCATCATTGATCATATTAATTTTGTGATGAAGTGGCTAGCGCTTCCCCAAGAATTCTGCCTTTTTCAAAGGTGCCTTTGCCCATAATGTGCACTAGGCAGGGCTGCCATTTTACCTAGATTGGATATGACTCTCGCTAACCAGTATGGCAACATCGCCACGTATTTTTGGCGGTCTTCCTTCTTCCTTTAAGACAAGACATGTCTCCCTTCTCATGTACAGATTTCATTTTCGTCATCACTAAAACTCAGTTAACAAAAGCGTGCTTGCGTGCTTTTAACAACGCTGAGTGGATGTCCACGCTCTCCTGACTCGCCAAATGTGGGTTGGTCCCAGTCAGCTGCGGTATGTCAGTCACGAGCCCATCGTTGTGCTGATATGGCACATTGACTAACAGCGAGTTTAACACTTCAAAAATTCCACGAAATTCAACCGAACCAACATTGCAAGGGAGGGCGGAAGGGAGGGCATGTAGGATAGCGTCGGTCGTTGGGTGGCCCACATGAATAGGCACCTGATACATGACAATAGGATCGGGCGAATCCACACCGGCATAAAATTACTGGCTGCACCAAATCGGTGACTGCTTGCACCAAGTCACGTGCACATCATGTCCAACTCCGTCCAAACTGACCTAACCTAAAACCTAAACCCTAAAACCTAAAACTAGACCTGCCCTAAATCTAAATTCTACCCTAAAACTCACCCTAAAGCTAAACTTAACCCTAAAACTGAGGTTAGGACATGGTGCGAGCAGTCACCGATTTGGTGCACGCAGTAATATTATTTCATCCACACCCCTGCAAGGTTCAAGTTCCAAGTTTCAAGTTGCCAAGTTCCAAGCGCACAAACGTCGAAATGGTGGCTGGCTAAAGTTCACCCGGACCGGGACAGAAGGCCATCCTAGCAAAATACCAGCTGCCCGAGCGTCGGAGGATGGGCCGGCCGCTGGAGGATGGGGCGCCTGACCTGGCGGGGGACTTCGCGACCAAGGTGTCCGTGAGCGAACGTTCAAGTGCCGCCGGTGGCTTGCCTGGAGAATTCATCGCAAAGGTTGGGGTTGGGGCCTGGCCTCGCGAGTGTATGCGAGGCTCTTTTCCATGCTGTGAAGAGATGATACAGAGCCTCCGATGCGAAGAGATCGGCACACAGCACAAGCAACTCAAACGGCCAGAAAGCTTGCACGCAGTTCCGGGGAGGGGGGCGGGGGGGAGAAAGCATGCACGGTACAGGATGTGCCTCGTCCTCCTCCTGAGCGGTGCCTTCTCGGCGCGCTTTATCGTCCTTTGGTTGACAGTGCGACAGGAACTGCGCTCCTTGCAGCAGGGACTACATTGTTTGATGCCGGACGGCGTCGCAAACAGAACAACATTCTCGATCGAAGCTGCGCTGGTGGTGAAGTTGGCTCCCTGGTGTCTGATGTGCGTGCTGAAACGCCAGCTTCTGTGGACTCGTGCATCGTGAATTGATGAGCAAATTCGTTGCCGCACGACGTTTCCCTTCGCAGGGCAAACTATCCCCTGGCAGCTGGGAGGCGACGGCGGGGGGGTGTCGTCCAGATCAGTTGTTCGCTCCCCGCTTGCCCGCATCTCCCCACCTCCCCACCTCCCAACGGTGGCGAAGGCCAGAAAGCAAAAGACGAGCTCTGATGGAATGCAACTGTGGATGCGATTTCGGGCGCCCTGACGTCGCGTTTGGATTGGACCGGCAGGTTTCAAGGCGACTGTCGTGCGATGAGCAGCTGCGGATGCCGGCGAGCATGACACGGGCAAATGAGAACATAGACAAGGTGCGGTGCCCCTGTTCAGCCGAGGCTGCTTCACCGGCAGTTGCTTTGTATTCTTGTTTGCTGCATTCCTTGGGCTTGCAATTGCCTTCACAGGACAGTGCGAGGCCTTGCACCTTGCTAGCGATGAATAGCATATAATCATCGAAAAGTGTGTTCGTCCATATTCATTCCTTCGTTCACTTCTGTGTCTGCACTGCACACAAACCGTGGTTGAGGAAAAAGCAGCGAAACACAAGCAAAAATGAAATCGGAGGTAAGGCTATGTCCATGAGTGGGAAGCCAACCTTTGATTGCCTTCCAACGAAATAGATGAATACAGTGCATCTTCATTGTGTTTGCTGCAGCTGGTTGTTGTTCATCTCTTGGGTCGGTTTGGAGTTTGGCTGATGCTCAGGATGCTCTGTTTTACAGGCTGTTCGAGAAGCTCACCTGGCGAACCTGCTCGCCCATGATCCCAGCATTTTTCTGGAGAGGTGTGCGATGACTTGGGGAAGCGTGCCCCTCGACAAACCAACGATTGCTCCAGTGCCCTTGAAATGCTGGCAGTCCAATCGATTCTTGGACCTGCCACCTTGTTGTGTGCCCACATCTGCCTGTCCGAAGTCTAATGGTGACTGTTGGCCTGCAGCCAGCTTGATGCGGACATTACGGACCCACTGTTGCTGATGTGGTGCCCTTGCAACCGTAGATATGGGAGAAAGCTGGAGGCAGAGGAACTCTGTCGCTTTGAGGCTCTGAGAGGTGCGGACAGAGATTGACACGTGTGGGAATGGACGATGCTGTGGGACACGTACCAGCCCAATAATTTGGGCTCTGATGACCTGCAACACAACACCCTCGACCCTGTCTCCAAACCTGCACAACTGAGGAATGGCACTCTGCAGTGGGAGCAGGCTTGTCACCCCAACCTTTCTTGGGAAGCCTATGCAGTGTTCTTCTTGCTGGTTGCTGTTCTTCTTGATTCTCCTTGGCATCACTTGTAACTATTCTCATGCTTGCATCACACATTAATCACTTGTTGACACCTTCTGCCGATGCAAGGCAATATAATGTCCTACAAGATCGGCTAACAAAGGAATCCTGAACTCAAAAGCAGTGAAGATCTCCATTCCAGAGCCAGGAGCCTCCTCAAGCAATTCGTTGCTATGAGTTGAACATATGCATGAGAAATTGACCTACAGCTCCAAAAAGCAATCAGCCAGTGCCCCTTGCATTCAAAAAGAGCTGTCATTCCTGGGAACTTGTGGAGATTGCTGTTGAACGCAAGAAAATACAACGGCAGCCATCAATTGACACAAAACAGGCATATCTTCACTTGTGGTGGCTATATTGCCAGAGCTGCATTTTCGTTGGATCGAATTCATCCTTTGGGCCACTTTTGGCTGCTCTGCTTTTGGATGTCACAGCTTGTACATTGGCACATGTTCAGTACATCTAGTTTTTGAGCCCTGGCTGTGCTCTTGACAGTTTCCTTTCCAACCTGTTTGAAGGGGACTACGAGGTCGATTTTTACCTGAAGCAGTTGCGTCCTCCTGAGAACCCACAGGCATCCACACTCAAGGCGACAGTGAACAACAGGCGACTTGCATTCCTGAACAAGGCGGTGAGACTGCCCACTTGTTTGAAAGGCCTATTGCAACCTTCGTTTGCTTGTGTTTTCCAATCCATGACAAAGAGCTGCCTTTGCATTGTGTTCGCAAAGGTATCGCGAGTTTGTACAGCGAGGAAGATGATGCAGAAGTTCTTGAGTGTGCTTTGAACAGCATTCAGCAACACACAAGTGTCCACAATTATTTCTTGTGCATTGTGCTCATGCATAGTGGTGGTGCTACTCACTTCCCTCCATGTTCACCTGCCACTTTTTGTTTTACTTCTGTAACATATCCAGTGCGGACGCATTTGTATCAACATTCTGTACAATTTTAACAGATAGGAGAACATTGCCCTACAAACTACCTTTCCTGGTCAAGATGCCTGAACAGAGGCAACTTGCTGCACATGTGAACCATGTCTCTTGCATGGGCCCTGATGGCATCCTGGCTCGCTTCTCAGCTGGCAACTGTTTACATGTGTCTGCATTTCCATTTTCTCTGAAGACAGTGGCGAAAGACAGTGTTGTTAAGAATTCCTTGCTCCACCTGTTGATGGCAGCTCATGAAGGGAGATTTCTTTTCCGAAGAATCGATGAGGGAGCGAGCGCCTCTGCTGTTCCAGGAGCATCTGGGACACCATGGGCCCTCACAGCCACAGCCGAAGTTCAGGAAGTTGTCGGAAATATTAATCTCTCACATGGATGAGATGGACACCCAGATGAGGTGCCACCCGATCGCTTGTTGCCTGCTGCCAGTATTGTTGATTGAGTGCTGATGTGATTTCTTTGAATGCATTTTGTTGATGTCTGACAAACCATGGCCAGGTGACAAGGTGATGAAGGGCGTAGTGCTGGCTGGTGATCAGTGGGCACGTCATGCTGCAGTTCATTGGCTGAATGGTACTACAAGTTGATTTCGGCTGGGTTTGCCCCGTGTTTAACTGATGCACCGACTGTAAAAGAAGAATGCTTCTTACATTGTTGGCCATTTGCAGCTGCGGTGAACACAGTTCTTCATGTGGCGTTGTGAAGCTTTGTTGCACTGTTGTGTGTGCTGTGGGCCTCCATCTGTTCAATGGGAATCATGATCTCAGCGAGCGCTTTCGTCCTCTGCCCTCAAAATCAACTTAGCAAGGAAAACAGGCAAACAGATGTAAGAGGAGTGGCATGTTTTGTAACCGATCGGTCACCAACACATGTTGCTTATTTGTTTGCGTTCTTCCAGGGTATGGGGAAATGGTGAAGTCTGTTTTTGAACAAGCTCACCAAAGTATGACAAAGCACCCAGTGGGTGATGTTGGACACTGTTCGCATCCGCGTATATATGGTCACAGACTGAATTCACATTGCGCTTGCCACTGCACCAGGTTGAAGGATGAGATGATGAGAGAAGGGAAGGGGGCCAGGCAATACCATGAGGTGGGAAGAGATGAGGTACAAGAACAGGGGCAGGAAGAAGAAGATGTGGAGGAACAGGAAGAAGAAGAGGAGGAAGAGGAACAGGATGTGGCGATGGAAGAGGATGGGATATCGGCACCACAAGATTGCAAAGGACAAGAACCTAAAACTGGCAATGAAGATGTGAGTACCAATGCGATGGAGACTGATGATGACAGACCCCAGGCTTCTGCATCTGTGGCTGAAGAGCATCAGATCATCCACAGTTGTGCTGCACCAACAGAAGATGAAGGGAAAGATCTGGTGGGGCCAGTGGTTGTTGTGTGATTGTGTCCTTGGAATGCACTGCCGGCATGGACATGTTGTGCTTGGCCACAGACAAGGCACAGAATGGCAGCATGTTGCACAGAATATTTTGTTTTGTTTGGGTACAGGTTTGGAAACAGTGATATGCATTGTTTCAATCAGGAGTTTCTGTCTGTCGAATAGTGTTCTACTTGGCTTTTCCAATGGAAGTAACTAATATTCTGCTATGTGACGTGTGTTGATAGCGATCAATATACTGTATCTCACACATACTCCATCTGACAACAATTGATGCGTCATGCGCTCTGTGACTCGTGCAGCCCTTTGTGCAAGGAGGAATTTGCTGAAAACCTGCACTGGTGTTCAAGCTCAGAGATTGAAAATGGACTCGAACCCTTGGCCACATGCTGTGGAGGGTAGTTAACATGCTGTTTGATGATGTTAGTTGCATTCTTTGTTTCATTCATGGACATGGGTTGCCCTCAATGGTACCGATTGGCACAGGGATCTGTGGCTGTAGCAAAGAAAAAATGCTTGACTTGGATGCTGCTGTGCATGCCATTGCACTCAAGCCACGAAGCTTTTTGTGCAAGGCAATCTTCACGGGCAGTCGAATGTCGTGGCAGCTGCAACATAAAGAGTTTGGCGTCATGGAAAGGTTAGACGCGATATTGGGACTCAAGGGAGTGCTTGTTGTGCCGAATGCAGGAGGGTGACTTTCTACGGCTGATGAAGGAAAGGTTTCTGGCCGGTGAGGACTCTGCGTTTATCAACTATGCTGCAATTGATGGGTAAGATATTGACAACTGACCACTACACATGAATCTTTTTGCATGGCAGTGGTGCTGAAAATGCCTGTCGAACACACGCGCAGATTCACGTGATGAAACAAGGATTGCCATTCCATGCATCTATGCTGGAAAGTGGTGCTTTGACACCACATTGCAGTGACAAGCAGCGACCACTTGAACACCATTCTAGCACATGCCCACACACACATATCAGAGGCAGCGGATCAAAGGCGGCGAAATACTTCACACAGGTCACCAGATGCATGTGCAGATACGTGCTCTTGTCAATGTATGCCATACTCACGTTCTCAATACTGGTAGTCGTTGGCGAGTTTAGCGGTGTATGGATCAGCCAGTGCATGGAAACAAGAAACTCCAGGTAGCCACCCACCCTCGCAGATAAGATAATGCACATAGTATAGGATAATCAGGACGCAAAAATGAAAAAAAAACATAGGATGCTACGTAGTATATGCATTGCTACATAGATGAGGATAGAGAATGCACAGGTTGGTAGTATTCCGTAGATCAGGGAGGAAAGCGCAGGGGTTGTTGAATAGTGCGGGGGCCTTTGGATAACGGCCCCGGCGTTATCAAACATGGCTGGTGTTGCGGAGGGCAGCTGGGGGTATGCAACATAGCGTGGTGGGGCACTATTCATTTCAGCATCACGTACAACCACAATGCAAAAGCATCTTCACACGTTCTGACATCTCAATGCGTGCGATATCGCCCCCATGTTATCAAGTCCACTCCCACTAAACATTGCCATGACATTCCTCCTTCAATCAAACACCATGTCCTCAAGATTCTCAATGTCCAGTTCCATACTACCATCACTCAAACCGAGGTCATCGGGGGGCGCAGGGGTGGGGGTTGGGGCGGTGGGGGGGAGCTATTCTCCGTGATTCACTCTACTATGCATGTGAGAACAACTAATAACAACATATGGTGAATGAGGTAAACATGGTGCGCGTGTTAAACATGGTGAGGCTTGTCTGATGCCTGTCATTTCCGGATATGAGGGTCATGAAGGGTGCGAGGGTATGCTACCATCAACCCTTAACATAAGAACCTAAAGAACTGTCTGAAGTATGACCTTCATAACCCTGAGGCCATGCATATCTGGATGTGAAAGCAATCGGACATTTGCGAACATAATGGCAAGCTATGGCGCATGAAAGGTGAACCTGGAGACAGTGAAGGATGGTGAACAAATGGCAATGATATGGTGCTCATTGCGATGTGGAAAACATTGAGAAAGCAATGTTTCATGTTATGCATCCTTTTCCTGCGTGTCTCTTATCCTTGAGTGAGCGCGTGTGGGAGTGAGCGCTGAGTAACAACGGAACTTGTCTGTGAAAATGCGAAATAGATATTCAATTTTGCCCAAGAGGCACGTGTGACGCATGTGCATAGCTTTCATCGTAGTAATGACAATTCATTGCCGCTTCAACAATCAGAGACGTGCACCCCAAATGAATCGCTGGTGCGGGGTGGGCAGTGCCACAAGGCAATCAGCTGTTTTAATCTCAACTTTATGTATGGGTTTGAAGGCAATTTGTGATGGCAATTTTGGCTGCCTGTTCCTTGCATCTTGGGAGACCGTGGAATTGTTGTTTGGCTGCACATAGTGGGCTGCTGTTCATAGAAACATGGAATGAGACACTTGGCGAAGGCACAGACAAAAATCTGCGGTGATCCAAATCACGTTTGCAGCTCATGTTGACAAAATTCGTCGCATACGCGCTTGTGCCAATTTGATTCTTGACCAGAAATGTTCTGTTTTCTTTGGCAGGGACGCCTCATTGGATGATTATTGGATGGATGAGGAGTCCAGGGACCTGGAAGAGAAGTATTTTTCCTCTGTATGATCCAATGGGGACTCTATGACGATCGCTTCTTGTAAAATGTTACAATATTTGTAATTAGCAGTATTTTTCAATATTAAATATAGAGAGCCCGCGGCCTTTTGTCTTAGTGCAATTGCACTCCCACTTGTACTTTGTGGAGTCACCATCCATCAGATGGCTTCAACGAGAAATGTGTTCCACGCATTGCCATCAACTTTTGGAATGCCACACTGCACGAAAATTGGTGTGCACAGTGATTTGGACCACACAATGAACTTCAAATTGTGGCAGAATTCGATCCTGCTCACGACGCCGTTCGAATGACCGCCTTGCTTGTTGTGTCATTTACATGAGAGCGCCCAACTGGTCTCCATGAAGAAAATACGTGAAATTGATCTTGGCCGCAAAATTCGTCAAGACATTGTCTGTGGGCCAATAGATTTCTGTTTTTTAGGAAATCCTTGGCCTCAAGGACACCCAGCCATTGCGGAGTTGGCCACCTTTGATGCCCACCTTTGCGACCGCTTTGGTTGCGTGGTTGAGCAGAAATTAAGCTCTCCCAGTTTGGTATTCCCAAATGGGGCATCGAAGCGAGGGGCTGGGGCCCGGCCGCTGGACTGCGTAATTCGCGGCCGCCTCTGCCGCTAGCGCCCATTGCTCCGTTCTGAGGAGCTCTGAGAGCGAGAAGGCGCTTGAGGAAGCTTCGGCCGTAGTTCCCTGCCCTTTGTGGCTGTTTCTAGGGGATTGCTACGCGTTTGGGAGGAATCGCTGCCATCGACATCAAGGTTAAACTTCTCTGGAAATGAAGTTAACTATCCTGTTAATGGGTTTCTGCCAAGGGCGACGATGGGTGGGCTGCACCGGCGATTCAAACGGTGCAGTTTGAACCTGGGGTTTACTCAACCCCGGCCCTTGGGATTTCTGGCCACCCCTAGTACCGTGGGTCAGTCAAAGTACGGTATTCCGAGGTGCCGCCCGCGAGGGCGCCCTCGAGTTTGGCGGGCTTTGGCGGGGCGGCGGAGGGCGGCTATTTAGGCAGCCCCTCGGTCCCCCTCCTTATCTTGTTTCGCTTCGCGCCACTGCGTTGGCACAACCCGCAGGCACCGAGTGCCTTGTCTCTCCAGCTACGGCCGAGTCCTTTCTATGAACCGTTCTCCGGCCGAGCAGTGGCTGCACGACCAAGCGGTTCGGTTCAACGACGGTCCGCCTACGGCTTCCCTTGACGAAGTCTGGCTGTCCGACCCCCGGCTCCTACCGCAAGCGGTAACCAACCCGGTGGTCCGACCTCTGGGAGTACGCTTCCCCGAGTGGTTCGACGTCCGCCGCACCTCCGAAGGCGGGCAGCTCGCGCAAGCTCTGGGCGCCAACTCCGGTTACTTCCAGGAGTACCAGAACCGGGCCCCCTACGTCGCATGGCAGTTCGACCTCACTGCCGCGCTGATCGACTTCGTGGCGCACCCGGCCTTCCCGCTGGGGTTCCGGGAGGCCCTTCTGCCGTACGTCCACGCCCAAGTGACCATCACGTCGCGCCTTCAGAACCTGATCCGTCTTCAACAGGTCCACGGTGAGCAGAAGGGAACCTCTCTCGACGGGCTGTGGAAAGCGCTCCAGACCAACGTGCGATTGGGCGCGGTGCATCGCCAGTTCTAGGACCCCTTGATTGACGAGCCCCTCGAACACATCCGCAAGGAGGTCCTCAATCAGCAGCTCAAGTTGACGACGAAATCCGCGGCGGCTCAACATCAAGCGTAGCTCAATCGCCAACCTCCTGCGGCCTCGCCCCCCGGCGGTCCTTCCTCCGGCGCCAAGCATCAGCGCCCCAAACCCAAGACGTCTGGCGCCCCATCTGCGCCTCCCAAGCCGACCGCCTAGAGGCCCCGCCCTACGCCCACCTCCAGGGCCGTCTTGCGGCCTGGCGACGCATTGGCGCCCCCTCCAGTGTGCTTTGATGGATCCATACGGGGGCGCCGCTCCAGTGGGGCCCAGGGGGCCCCCCGCCCCCTTTCGATCAAGGCGAGTACCCGCTCAGGACTCCGGCGAAATGGCAAGCTTGGCGGGAGCTGCGCGACGAGTACCTTCGGACAGGGGCGATCATCCGGACGGAGCCTTCTTCCAACGCCCGGATTTCACGCGCCTTTTTGGTGGCCAAGCCGGCGGAGAACGGGCAGACCAAGTACCGTTTGGTCATCGACCTTTGACGGATCAATCGCCACCTCAAGAAGGTCGGTCTCCGTTATGAGCGCTTGAAGGATTTCGGTTTTCTTTTGAAAAAGAACGACTTTCTGGTGGGCTTTGACGTCAAGAATGCCTACCATCATGTTCGGATGCGCGCCGATCAGGAGCATTTCTTGCTCTTTCGGATGGGTGGTGAAGTTTTCGCCTATCGGGCGCTGCCGTTTGGCCTCTCCTTGGCCCCTTTTATTTCACTCATGTCATGCTCGTTGTGGTCCGTTTCTTAAGGACCCCTGCGGTATGTGCACGGGCTGGAACTCGTTTTCGATTTGGCTACTTAGCGGGTAATGACTCCATCTTCCAGTACTACCTAAAGTACTCGCGGGAGGTGCCCGTGTTGATTTTGGCATATTTGGATGATTTCATTGCGGCCATGTCTGATCCGGTTCGTTTGCGGGAATGGTCCCTTTTGGTCCAGCGAGTTTTTCAGGCTCTTGGGATTGAGTTCAAACATTCCAAATGCCAGTGGGATCCGGTGCAACGGAAGACCCATTTGGGTGTGCTCATTGACACTACCCGGTGCCAATTTCTGGTGCCTCCGAACAAGGCCGCTGCGATTGCCTCCCGGGCTCGTGCCCTTCTTCAATCGGGCGGGGTAGTGGCGCGACATTTGGCTCAATTCTGTGGGTCTGCCATTTCGTTGTATTTGGCCTTTCCGCTGGCCCGCTTTTTCTTGATGAGTCTGTATGAGTTATTACGAGGGAAACGATCGTGGCGGGATCGCCTTCGTTTGACCCCCCAAGCCCGCCTGGACCTTTTGGCATGGACAAACATTTCGCGCCTTGCCGGCCGGGCTCTTCACCCGGGTTCGCTGCCCTTTCTGGGCACACTTGCCACGGATGCAAGTCTTACGGGTTGGGGGGCGACGTTTCAGTCTTTGGGCCAGGCGGAGCCCATGCTTGCAAGGGGATTTTTTGATCGGGAGCTTATTCATATTAATGTTCGTGAAATGCAGGCCGTACACTTGGCCCTGCTCAGTTTCTTTCCTCACCGGTATTCCGGGACGACTTCCCGGCGGGGTCGTTTGTTGGTGGACAACCAGGTGGTTCTGCACTGTCTCCTTTCCATGACTACCAGGGCCACCAGTCTCTTGAGGCCCT